TGGCTCAGCGGTTAAGAGCACTGACTGCTCTAGCAGAGGACCTGGGTTCGGTGCCCAGCTAACAACTATTCTAACTTTAGTTCCAGGGGATCTGATGCCCTCTTCTGTCCCCCACGGGCATTATACAACATGGGTGCACTTACATACAGGCAGGCATAACACTCATACACATAAAATAAAAATAATTTTTTATTAAAAAAAGGAACAATAAGTTATGGCATATATTGTACAATAGGGCAACTATAGATGACAATAATGTACACTTCAAAAAGCTAGAAGAATTTCAAAAATTTTTACAATGAATTAACAAATGGGAGGATGCATAAGTTGAACCTGGTTCAAAATGGGGGGGAGGGAGGGGCAGGTGGCTGGAGAGATGGCTCAGCAGTTAAGAGCAAGTACTGCATTTGTAGATGACCCAAGTTCACTTCCCAGCACCCATGTCAGGCAACTCACCACCAGCCTGTAACTCTAGCTCCAGGGTATCTGATGCCATCTTCTGGCCTCTATGGGCACCACTGGAACATGCAGTCACCCACATACAAACACATATTTTATCATTATATTATTATTATATTATTACATGTATAGCCATCTCTCCAGCCCCAAAATATACTTTATAAAGGGAGGGGGCTGGAGAGATGGTTTAATGGATATGAGAGCTTACTGTGCAAGCATGAGGATCTGACTTTGAATCCCTAGCGCCCATGTGAGTTAGGCATGGATATGTGTACCTGTAACCCCCAGTATTGGGACATGGAGACTGGTGGATCTTCGGAGCTCACTGGTCAGCCAGTCGAGCCAAAACAGCAAACTTCAGGTTCAGTAAGAGACCCTTTCTTAAGGGAATAAGGCAGAGAGAGAGAGAGAGAGAGAGAGAGAGCAGCATACCCAATGCCATCCTTTGGACTCTTTGCAAACGTGCACATGTACAGGCACCACACAAATTATGAAATATCTACATGCATATATCAAATTATATATGTACATACCCCATTAATATGTATCATTTTTGTTCTTATGTATATTAAAATTTTTAGCTTTTTAAAAATGGAAAGAAGGGCTGAAGAGATGGCTCAGTGATTGAGAGCAGTGGCTGTTCTTACAGAAGACATGGGTTCGAATCCCAGCACCTACATGGCAACTAACAACTATCTCCAACTTCAGTTCCAGTGGATACAACGGCCTCTTCTGTCCTCTGTGAGCATTGCACGACACGGGTGCACTTACATACATGCAGGCAATACACACATACATATAAAATAAAAATATAAAATATTTTTTTAAATGGAAAGAAATACTAAAGGAAAACAGAGGAACTAACTCAGTCTTCAGAGGGAAAAGAAGATTTTATAAAGTGGTAAGGATGGCAAAAGGCCTTCTATGCTGAAGACACTGCACAATGGCTCAAGAGCAGGAAGCAGTACAGGGGCAGGATGTGACATGCTAAGGAAATTCAGGTGCTGGTGGTTGTAACCCAGTGAAATCAATTTAGTGGGTGATGCCTTCAATTTATGCTTCAAATAAATTCAAATAGAGCAGGAAATATTAGACATTTCCTAAAATTGTAAAGACAAGTTTTATAAAACTTTGGCATCAGATACAAGTATACATACTGGGTGACAAAGTAAAATACATTTATTACTGTTGGCTCAGGGTCAAAAAAGCTTAAGCTAGGTGTCTGGTGACTGACTAGGTAAAAGAGACGAAGGGCAAGTCAAGAGAGCGCCCAAGTTTCTGGTATGGGCACCTGAATGGATTCATAATGACTGGAAGAATGGAGGAGGGTGCTTTTACTTTGTTAGATGCCATGTGGGTGCTGGGATTAGAACCCGGGTCTTCTGCAAGAACCACCAGTGTTCTTAACCACTGAGCCATCTCTCCAGTCCCTTACCAAGTCTATGTATGGATGCTTGATTGATAACTTGGACAGCAGCCTCCTCAGATATTTTCAGCAGCCACAGTCAATACAGAGCTTATTCAGCAAGGACAATAGGCACAGTTACTGCAGTTGTAAGCTCCCTGAATACACAGGTAATGAGGATCTTCTAGGAACTGAAAAGGGGTTGTGGAGACTAAAATCTCAATCCACAGAAAAACTATAGAAACAGAAAAAAATAGACAGGATAAGTGCAACATCAATGGGGAACTTACAGGACATGAGAAATCCTGTCCCTGTCCTAAGTACAACAAGGACCCATCGGCTGGAGAATCCAAGCAAGCATTCTGGTAAGTCTACCACCAAAGTATTTTTGTTTACTAGGAGTTTGCCTGGTTTGCTTTTGTTTGTGGGTGGAGGACTGTCTTTCTATTCTGACTGTTTCCTAAGCCTCCTCACCTCTTTCCTCAGTTCCAACTCTAGAGGTAGTTCAATTCTGATACCTCTCGGGTGTGTCTACTTCCTGAGCTCTCTAATTTTGGACTTGGCTGTTCCTTTGCTTATGGTCTTGGATCTTCAGGCTAAGAGAACAGGACTAGAAGAACATAACTTTTCTATAGACTTGGGGTAGACCCATCACTCCTCCTAACTCCTTTTACCCCTTAGAAGAGGGACTTCTCCAATTCTGGGAAGATAGCTGTATAATTGGGCTCCAAACTACTTCTCTGGTGACCCTTCTACTGCATTTTCCACAAACCTGCCCCCAGACACTGCAGCCAACTAGCTGCCTCAAATAATCCGTGTTCTGTACATGCTGTCTTTCGCTCCTGCTGTTCTCAAATATAAAATGGCCTCTGCCTGTGACAGCAATGTGACTCAGCCTTCACAGTGTATCTCAAACATTCTCTCTACCACAGAAACAATCTTTAACCAACACTACTGCCACTCCTGCCACCAAATTTGGATTTAGTTTTATCACAGCATCACTTTACCCTTTGTGCAAAGCATTTCCTTATCATCCAGTCTAGGCAATTGTACTTTAAGGTCCATTTTCCACTCCAGTTTCTTTTCTTTTTTTATTTATTATTTATATGTGTATGAGTGTACTGCCTGCATGTATGTAAATGTACCCATGTCACACAATGCCCGAAGAGGTCAGAAGAGGGCGTCAGATTCCCCTGGAACTGGAGTTACAGATGGTTGTTAGCCACCATGTGGGTGCTGGGAGTTGAACCCGAGTCTTCTGCCAGAACAGCCAGTGTTCTTAACTGCTGAGCCATCTCTCCAGCCTTCTACTCCAGTTTCTTGAACATGTTAGGAACTTCTCTCAAACATCCCATGGCCCTGAACACATAGTAGGTCCTCAATAAGGATTTGCTGGTTCAAAAAAAAAAAAAAAAAGCTGCAGATACAGTCCACCAAATTCTCTATGGGTTATCAGAATAAAGAACAAGGAAGAGGTTAGAGGAGACAAAGCAACAGGTGGCCTCCCTCTTCCACTTAACTGGTGGTGGTACATCCCACTGCTCTAAGAAATTTAACCAACTTCAGTAGACAGTTTGGAAAGTTTAAAAAATGACAAATTGGCCAGGTGTGGTGGTGCACGCCTTTAGTCCCAGCACAGGAGGCAGAGGCAGGTGGATCTCTGTGAGTTCAAGGCCAGCCTGGTCTACATAGTGAGTTCCAGGCCAGCTGGGGCTATAGGGAGACCCTGTCTCAAAAAAGACCCCCCCCAAAAAACAAAAAAAACAAAAAACAAAAAAATGGCAAGTTGTTTCAAGGCTCTCCCAGCCACTATTAGTCAGGTATTGACCTTAGGATGTGGTCACAGGGATTATATATTTTATTTTGCCATCCACTCCCTCTACCACTCTGATACCTCTAGCTATTTGCGCAATAAAGAATCTTTCATACTGGCTCTGAATATTATCTTTGAGCTCCTCTGGGAACAGCTTAGCCTTCCCTCAACCCTCCCACCTTTCCAATGAGTAATTCTACCATGCAGTCCTCAGCTCTTAAAAAAGTCATTTTCTTCTCAAGGTATACATTTTCCCTTCCTGTATCCTCTCTTTAACCTCCACTATGGATACCAAAGGCAGTGTGCTACCTGACAAAAAGCCATAGTATATTTTAGACAACTAACAGAACTAGGAAGGATTTCAACAGCTGTAGTTTTTGTTTTGATCCTATAAGCATCACTTACATGTATTCTAGAACTTACCATTCAAGTCCTATAACTAAGCATTTATGTCTTATCTCCCTCACTAGACTGTGGGTTTCTTGAGAATTAGTTCTAGTTCCCAGCAAAGTGCCCAGGACATAGTGTACCTTCAATAAACTACAGGTTTAGGGGAGTTTAAAAGTCCTGTGATGCAAGGCTCAGCTGAAGGCAGTCTCAAACAAGGGTCCTTTGACAGGGTAACCATTCCCCACGTTCCTTAGATACTCACTATGGTCAAAGTAGCAAACCTAGTTCTCCAGAATTTACTTTCCCCAGATCTGGCAGTTCAAAAAAATACATTCCCCAGCCCCCACTTCAATGACTCCTATATCCCTTTGACCTTTAATATTGTGCAACAGTACATGAAAAATTGATTTTTTTTGGCTACTTCACAGCTAAAGAAAAAATATACTGTTTAAGGTGTTAAATATTTTCATCAGCAACAAACCTGGCTTGACTCTCTAACCTGTATGCACATTTTGTAGGCACAGGGATAAATGTCAATGCTGTAATTTGTTAAAGTTTTCTGATGACCAATGATGAAAATGACCACGGATTCTCACAATTTAAACCACTTTTACGTAAATGTGAACTTTCCTAAAACAGCCAAGGGAGAGAAGGGTTTCCATCCAAGTTTACAGACTCTCTTAGAGATACTGATAGCATTGTTCAAGGGGTCAGGCGTTCTTTGAAAAAAATCCTATAAATATTAGTTTCTTTATGGGCTTATGCTTTGACCTTTAATAAAAATGTGCTTCAAGACATCAGTTATGAAAATGAAAGGAACAGTTTTTCATACCTGAACTGCCATTTCATATAATTGGCCCTGAAGAAAGCTACATGTTACAGTATGCGTGCACACATACACATTTGGTGACTTGACTTAAATTGCTCACTTACCAGACATGAAGCAGGGTTATAAGAAACCATGAATTGAATGTATCAGGCATCTGACACCCTAGAAAATAACAGTAAGGTATAAATATGTGAAGGTTTAGAGGAGGCATGTTGACTCTATTTTGATTGTTGGTGGGAATTTGTTTGATTACAAATATGTGGCAGTACAGTGCTCTCTGATCATGCTACTACAGAAAAGAGCAGTTAAACATGATGTAGGACTGTGGACTAGAAGAGCATCGAATGCAGTCAGACAACCAGCCTTCCAGTCCCAGTCTTGTTCCCACCTTGCTGAGAAGCCTTGGGCAAACCACTTCCCCCAGTCTCAAATGTCTCATTTCGCACAATACGGCAGAGATGATTTCTTGCAGCTCCTTCCAACTTCGTATGATTGATTCTATGCTGTATTCCCTGCATGGGCTTAAATTCTAAAAAGCTAGGCAAATGCCACTTCACTTATTCCACTTCAGAATCGCCTATTTTAATCACAGGAACCCTGCTGAAATGATTAAGCCTTTCCAGTGTCCTTTTCTTATCTGCTAAGACAACTCAATGTGGTATGGCTGTGAGCGAGTATGCAGAATGATTTACCCCAATAACCAAGAGAAGGAGTGGAACTTTTAGGAGAACAGGCTGAATAAGGCAGGCAGTATCTATTGAGGCCATGCACTACCACTCCCAGCAATAACAAAACTGGACAGAGCTTCTTGGCTCCAGATTCCACAAATCATGTCTCTGCTCAGACATCCAAAACTCCCAATTCTTAGACATCTAAGAAACTCCTTTGGCTGGATGAGGGATCCCCACTAAATGTACCCTACTTATTACATGACAAAGAGCAATGCTTGGCAAGGAGCAGGAAGATGAATGAGAGAAAACTGTGAGAAATCTGAGCCCTGATGGTAGAATCTGTCTTTTGGAACAGTGACTCAAAAAAGTAGTAAGCCTGGGTATAACGGTGCCTGCCTGTAATCCTAGCACTCATCTTGTGAGGCAAGGGCAGAAAGACTGCAAATTCCAAGTCAACTTGGGATACATAAAAGCCCTATCTCAAAAAAAAGTATTATTAGTCAGCAATTAGTGAGTTAAAACACAGGGCAGGACTGTGTGAAGCACAATAATGCCACCAATGCTAATAAGGAACTCAAATTCATTTTGGGCTTATATCATGCCAGACATAATAAGTGTTTCACATGTATTAGTGCAATAAATTCACTCAATAACCCTACTATGTGGGTATTGATATTATCTCCATTTGAAATTGAGAAAACTCATGCTTAGAGGAATTAAGGTCCCAGAACCTCAAAATCATGAAATAGATACCTAGAATCAAATTCATACTGTCGTGATTCCAGATCCAGTGTGCCACTGGCTAGTCCCAGTGCCTCTCTAATACTAATATGTGGAAACTAACATTAGAAAGGTCCATGTTACATGCCAGGTGTGCTGCTGATCATGACAATATATTATCTCACTTAATCCTTACTTTAACGCTGGAATGAATCACTATAATCTTATTTTAGAGGTAAGGAAGCGTATACAAAAAGGCCCAGTAACTTGTGGCCACCACGTTAAGCTCATGGCAAGGCTGGAATTTGAATCCAGGTCTGTCACAAAATGACACTGAAAAACTTGGGTAAGCCTACTGGGTGGTGCCCAGAGGCTGTCAAGTGGACTTCCTCTCCAAGCCCAGCAGGAGGGAGCTGGAGGAGAGCCTGGCCGTCTGTCCAGCTATTAAGACACATGCCATCTGAGAGCAGGCCAGCTGCCCTCCACCTAGAACAAGAATAGCCCTGAGAAACTCTCAAGCCCGGATCTCCAAGTTGGGTCTCTTTTTGGATGCTAGAACAAAACATTAAAAAGAAAAGTTTTCTTGGAAGTCCGTCTTTCAATCTGGAGAATAAAGTTTGGCTACTTCTAAAGGACAATCTGTTCAACTGCTACCTCTACATCAAAGCCTCCTAGCAGCCTCCAGGAGCCTGTCCAATTTCCTCAGAGAGGGAATCAGTTCTTGGGCAGGAAAGCACAGACAGACAGACAGGTCAGCAGCTGGCCCTGGGTCACAATTTTCCTTCTGGAGGTCAACTCAGGGCTGATGAGAAAAGAGCTGGCATATGAACAAACCCCTGTACCCGTGGAGGTCCGAACAGAAACCCACAGAGTAAACCTCAAAAATAGAAAACCAGTGAATGGCAACTGTGAGCCACACAGACATACACAGACTCCTTAGCTCCATGAGATGTGTTTACAAACTTGGGGTTAAATCCCGCCATACTCAGCCAGGACCACACTTTTGCTCCAGTGTACATTCTTTTCTGAGGCTAGGGACTTTCTTTCTTGACACCAAGTTCAATAAAATTAAATAACTCAATTACTGTCATGAGAAGCTGTTATTAACACATTTTAATATGGGGCCAGAATACTTGGTTTAAAATCTAGATCCTATTACTTGTTAAGCAGCTCTAGGCCATTACTTGACTTCTCAGTGGCCCAGTTTTCTCTGTAGAAATAAATGGAGAGAATAAGATGGTCTACCTTATACAGTTTTTATGAAGATACATGAGATAAAAAGTCTAGAAAATGCTTAGCCAAATGACTGGCATTTAATGGGCACTCAGTACATATTCACTGTTGTCATTTTCCAGTGAATTAAATATTGGGGTTCAAACTATCTTGGAAAAGTTTCACCAACTACTTTAAATTGTGTCATAAGGTACTTGGGGGGAACCTCAACTACTAATTCAGAATTTCTCCATTAAGGAACCTTCCCTCCAAGGTAATCAGTTTCTTTTTTTTTTAATTTTTAATTTTTATTTATTTTTAAATGTTATTATTTTTATTTTATGTGTATGTGTGTATCACCTGCATGGAGGTAAGTGCACCCGTGTCGTGCAATGCCTATGGAGGTCAGAAGAGGCTGTCGGATCCCCTGGAACTGGAGTTATAGACAGTTGTTAGCTGCCATATGGGTGCTGGGATTCGAACCTGGGTCTTCTGCAAGAATAACCACTGTTCTTAACTGCTGAGCCATCTCTCCAGCCCCCCAAGGTAATCAGTTTCTTAAGGGCTAGAACAAGATAGTCACAGACAACAATGTACAAGTAAGCAGAAGCCTTCCTAACTGGCTAGCTCTGCTCCAAAGTCTCTTCACAGTTTCACTGATCTCTAAAATACAAGTCAAGAAACTACCATATACATAGTGAGTCTACCACCATACACAGTGTGCAAACTACCATACACAATGAGTCTACTACCATACAGTGTACAAACTACCATACACAGAGCAAGTCTACCACCATAGACACAGTGTGCAAAGTACCATACACACAGTGAGTATACTATCATACACACAGCAATCATACACATAGCAAACATGCTTGTTTATGACAGATAAGGGGCATCATCAGAGCATCTTAGAAACAACAGAGGCTGCCAACATATCTTACCACTCAAAATATCCTAATATCTAGTTCTTGGACCTAAACTGATAAACACTTTGGCTCTGACATGACAGTCTAACTCTGGCATTTTATGGAAGACTATCTAGGAAGCTAATAGGCACAACATGCTGTGAGCAAAAAATGGCACATGCCTCACTTTTACTAGGAAAAATGACACCTACCAGATGCCTGAGACTCTCTGTCCTCAGGTCTCTGAAGTCAAGCCCTACATTATCAAATATTTAAATGAGCATGGCCATTTTAAAGGTACAATCTTGGGTCTCTCTATATATTTTTTAATTATTATTTTTATTTTATGTGTATACACGTATTGTCTGCATGTAGGTAAGTGCACCTGTGTCATGCAATGCCCGTGGAGATCAGAAGAGGTCATTGGATCCTCTGGAACTGGAGTTACAGGGATTTGAACCCGGGTCTTCTGCAAGAACAATCAGTGTTCTTAACTGCTG